CCCCAAGACATCACTAAGAATGTGCCTCATGAATCATGCAGTTTCCTTTAGGGGCCAGTGTTTAAAGGGAAGCATCCAAATAAGGGCCCTCATAAATTAGAGATAAAAGTGTCAGTGTCCCTAGAGCAGGGCCCTGAATCATTGTATATCTTCAGATATTAAAAACGGGTTGAGGGGTCTAGCAGAGATAGAAAATGCACTGGATGGGTCTCATCAGCACCATATACCAAAGAATGACCAAATGTTTCCTGCACTTTGCTTTCTGTTGGTTAAGTTTTCTGTGTATATTTTAGACAAGAGTGCTTGCAAGGTATGGCAAGTGGTAATAAAGAGTCCTGTGTGGTTTCATGTGATAGAGTATACCAAACACCAGGCAAGCTGAAATAGCCCCAGAGTCACAATGCAGGTCACTTGTGGCAGCCATGATCAGCAGAGGCACTCCAGTGCCCATCTATGCCACTTCAGGTGAGTGACCACATTCAGTCCACCCCTACCCAGCATTTGGTCCAGTTTCTTGCACATAGACACCTGCACTGGACAGGAAGCTGACACACGTGAACAAGAGACCCTAGCCTCGCTTCCCACGACAGTGTTGAATTAGCATAATTTTGTGTTTTCTTATCTTGTCATAGGTGCCTCTGATAATAATTTCCACATGAGTTTGATGGAGAATATTTCAGAGGTAACGGAATTTATACTTGTGGGGTTAACAGATGCCCTAGAGCTGCAGGTCCCTTTATTTACTATCTTCAGTCTCATTTACTTCATCACTCTGGTTGGGAACCTTGGGATGATCATGTTGATTCTGTCGGACTCCCGGCTCCACACTCCCATGTACTTTTTTCTCAGTAACCTCTCCCTGGTGAACTCTGTCTATTCCTCGGCTGTCACTCCCAAGGGGTTGGTGGGGTTTCTCACGGGAGATAAGATCATTTCCTACAATGCATGTGCATCCCAGATGTTCTTCTTTGCAGCCTTTGCCACTATTGAAAGCTTCCTCCTGGCCTCAATGGCCTTTGACCGCCACACAGCAGTGTGCAAGCCACTGCATTATACCACCACCATGACACGTACTGTGTGCATCCTACTGGTCACCAGCTCCTATACCTGTGGACTTTTGCAATCTTCCATCCATGTTGCCTTCACTTTCCATCTATCCTTCTGTCATTCCAATGTGATTAATCACTTTTTTTGTGACATTCCCCCACTACTGGCTCTTTCTTGCTCTGACATCTATACAAATGAGCTTGTGCTCTTCATATTGGCAGCATTCAATGTCTCTTTCACTCTCTTGGTTATCTTGAGCTCTTACCTGTTTATTTTTGTTGCTATCCTGAGGATGCATTCAGCTGAGGGACAGAAGAAGGCCTTCTCCACCTGTGTGTCACACCTTACCACTGTTTCTATCTTTTATGGAACAATCATCTTCATGTACTTACAGTCAAGTTCCAGTCATTCCATGGACACAGACAAAATCGCATCTGTATTCTACACCACAGTCATTCCCATGCTGAACCCTCTGGTTTACAGCCTGAGGAACAAAGAGGTCAAAAGAGCATTCAAGAAGGTTGTTGGAAAAGCAAAGACTTCACTGGGCTTATCCTATTAATTATAATTTTTTTGCAAACTATGTGAAACTCCTATCAGACTTCTAGTATCTGAGAATATTTTTTAAATTTTAACTATTTCTTGTCTTTAATTTCTCTGAG